TACTTTTATGTATGATTAAAAAAATTAAATTATAACTTCTTGTGACTTGACCACGACTAGGTATGTGACCCCCCCCCTGGCACCAAAGCTGGATCCGCCCTTGGTAACAGTATACCAAATTTCAGATCAATTGAACCTATGGATTTTAGTGAGATCCCTTCATCACCTAGGAAGTGAGCTGATGATCTTCAAAAATTATAGCTAAGAACCATCTCAATCACATCGGCTTTCGAACAAAAAAATCCGCATCAAAATTGGTCCATCCGTTCGGGAGCTATGATGCCACAGACAGATATGTAGATACACAGGTTAAACTTATAACACCCCTCGTTTACCGTCGGGGGTTAAAAACACAAAATATCAACACTAGGGCACCTTTATCGATATCTAAGGTGCCTTTGACAAATCAAATTTCACCAGCAAGCTCTGTCTAGACATGGCGTTAATTCCACAGTTTCAGGGTGGATCGACAGCATGCTAAGATATAGAGCCATTATTGGTATTGGTATTGGTTGTGGGCTTCGGTTTCCGCATTTAGACTCCAGAGTGGTCCTTTATGCGTCGAGTATTGATTGACTAGGTGAGTCAGCGAAGCTCCTTCCAGAAGCGCAGAAGCCTCCTGGGGCGTTCACAGGCTTCTAGGAGCAACTTTATATCAGGAATGATACTTGCCCGTTGTGTGGCCACTCCCTCGCTCTCCAGGACTAAGTGGACGGCCGTTTCTTCAGCTTCCAGACATCCCCTGCACAGGGGACTGTCCGTCGCATTGATTATGAATAGTTGTCGGTTCAGGGCTAGATGTCCTGTAATAGTTCCGAAAACCATTCTGATTGCCGGTCTGCTAAGACTGATCAATCTGCAGGTGAGTCGTGGTGTGACTTGATTCAGCACCAGTTTGGACTGTCTGCAGCCGGGTGAGTTTTTCCACCTCCGGTTGTGTGCTTCACAGGTCCGTTGCCTGACCCAGCATCGTATTTGGTTAAACGATATGGACAGGAGTGGGGTTGGGCCAGAGGTTGGGGTTGACGAGCCCCTCCTTGCCAACTCATCTGCGGCATCGTTCCCGTGTGAGTTACTGTGCCCTTTAATCCATTGGAGGAGTACCCCATGCGAGCTGTTCAAAACTGGCAGTGTAAACAAATGCGATCAGTTGACACTGACTGTTTTTAGTTAACACAGCCGTATGACGTAATAATATGGTGGCTAATATTTCATGGTGTTAAAAACTGATCAAAACGCTGAACATTTTTTATATAGAATTTTGAAGTTTATGTTGTTCTTTTATAAACTACAATTAATATGTTCCCACTTCTTTTTACCTAAGCTATCTCAATAATATATTTCTGGGCTTTTTTTCAAATAGAGTAAAAGTATTGAGGCAACACCTGGGATAGATCTGATCCAGACTTTGACACTGACAGCAGTTAACAGATTATCTGTTAAGTACCATAATTCATTGTTATGTCGCACAAAAAGTAGATAGGTTACATTGGTAACCTACCTGGTTTTTTAGATAGCTAAATAGTAGTGGTTTCCTTGATCGGTACTTATGATATCAGGTATTGGCATAAGAGTGGATTCTGAGAAAATTTAAATTGCTATTAGCATAACAAATAACCCTGACTTGTTTATTGACACCGAAAGAGTTTCAATATTTTTGTAATCAATTATTTTCTTTTCGATACTCATGCTTTACTTCCCCTTATATACCTATTTGTATTTTTATTTTATTCAATGTAAGTAAGCATGAGTACCTTTTTAATTAGTTTTTTCTGTTAATAGTAATATTAGTTTAAATACATCTTATACAACGAGGACGATCGGTTATGTAATGGATTATTGCACTATTTAAATTAAAATATTTTAGAACAGGTATGGATGGCTTCTAGTAAATATCTAATAAATATTTAACCAGCTATGATAGGAAAACTCCTACGACACGACTAAACATGATGACCTCCTCCTGAGGAAAAAAGACACAATTTCTTTGACTGTTTGATTTTTCATTCCACCGCTTTTCAATTCACAAAATAATACATTTTACAGCGTTTAGGTACCTTAAAGACAACAATTGTGTTTATGTTAAATCGACTACAAAGTGTTGTTTTATTAATCTAATGGTACGTTGGACACTGAACATTAGTTGATGCAGAGTGAGAGACAAGAGTGACAAGACCCACTTTCAAATATTTAAGTTAAAAAGTCTAATTGCAAATAGAGAGGTGAATTTTTCTGAATTTGGTTTTAAAATTACAGAAATAGAATAGGTATTTGGAAAAGTAGATGGAAAATCTTAAGATACTTGGAAAATTCTAAAATCGCATGACAAAGATTTTACACAATAAATACATTAAGATTGATTAACATTTTTTTTTCACGTGGAAACAGGGTTTAATAATAGGACTAACCGATCGTGTGCGAATAACTTTTTAACGACTAAAGGTACTCGGTATTTCTGCCACCTCATCTCCTCACCACATTTGGTAATGGTCCCATAGAACCATTTAGGTGAGCAGATCCTCTTGTCTTATTGACAAGAGGATCTGCTCACCTATTATTTCGCCCGCTTATCTACTATTTCGATCAAATCAACTAATTCGTTCTTAGCCCTATAAAAGACTAAGTCGTATTCTCCGTACTTTATTATAAAACCCATTCATATACTTAACTAAGCAAAAAAATAATTGCACTATGATATAGATGTAAAACAACTGATTTAAAACGTTTTAAACCCCAAATAAATCGTTTTAAACGGTTGAAAACTCGCCCACAGAAATAAATGTGTTTTACACTTCATTGTAGGCAATTTTTGGTCACCTGACGTCATGTTTCGTTTTAATTAGTTTATAGAGAATCAATAGAAAGTACCTACAAACATTACCTACTACACAAAAACTTAAGTATGTAAGTATACCTACCTAATCTTCTTTATTATACCACACACACTAGATTAGAAGACATCATTAACACAATGCCGACCGTTTTACTTGCGCATGAAAGAGAACGTTATGTTTTCAAGGCCGTCGCGCCGGTGCCGACGGTGTCAACGAGTTTGAGTTTGGTTTTAAACGGAATCAAATTGATTATTTATACTGTTTGAAAACAATAAAAAAATGATTATTTACTAACAGAGTTTTTAACTTATCAATAGAGTTTTTATAACTTACGCAGGTAGTACCTACGCTTGGTCGGACGAACTAACTAGAACTAAACCCGCTAAGTTTATCAATATCAGTATATCACATATATAAAAAAACTTTACACAGTTTATAGGTCTCCGTCATATCCCTACCTAAAAATGTAGTTATAATTAAGAAAAACATAGTCATCAGCACCAACAGTTTTAAATCGAAAATAAAATGGTTTATTTCGGTTTTTTTTCCGTTTTAAACCGGCCTTACATCTATACACTGGGAGCTTTAGTAGGTACTTCTTATTACTTGTTGACGACTTCACTAACGCCATATAGGTTAAGCTGCATCAAAAGAACTTATATCTAGGAGATAGAGATACCACTATAATATAGGTCTCCTTACATACACTTCATCTTTCTACTATAAGTACTTGCAAAATCGACAAAATGAAAATAATAAATTTAGTCAGTTTGAGATTAGGTCAAAATAATAAGACATCAATCGTTTTTTTTTCAGGTCTTTATTAGAAGTCACCAAACTATGAAATATATACATATTACTATAATGCAACACAACATTAAATATTATTGCCGCTGTTATTATAAACATCGACTGAATATCCTATATTGAATCCAAGAGCATCAAGAACTTGTTGCCAGTTGTGAAAATTTCTAGATGTTACAACTTATTGAGGTCAATGATCAAGGATACATTATAGAGTAAATATTATATTATTCTCTAAATAACGTTAAGATGTAATGCATGCGTTACAGCGTATTTAAAAAAACTCGAAAATTAATAATAAAAACATTCGACGTTAATTCATAAATGCGAATGCGTAACTTATAAGATAAATAGCCAATGTAACATAGTGACTTCAAATTACTACATCTAAGTACAAGCAAAAATAACTATTTTACAACTCCTATACCTAAGCAATATTTTAAGACGAATGTATTCTTGTAATTTTTATTTGACGTAACTAGTATTTATGAAAATGATAGTTACTACATTTATATTTTATTAAGCTCCATGCTCAGTGTTGCCCTAATAAAAAAGATAAAATGACTAATATTAGGCAAAAAATCCCAGATGAACTGACCCAATTTACTATTGCAACATATTGGATACTTGAGGGGAAACTACTTTTATTCAATAATTTTCGTTACTTTCAAATTACTATGAAGGAAATCCATGTTTGTGGTGTTATGGGTATAATTTCTTCAACATCTTGTAACAACTCTAGGTTCTTCTTTTAATAACAAACAAATAATTTGATGAATTGAGTAGAAATTGGTAACTCCAATGAATCGTGTAAACAACTTGATTTCAAAAGATATGGAAACAGTCATATGTGTATTAACACTAACATACCTGGAAGGCACTGCGCTAAAATCAATTTGGCAATGGATTTTTCATTGTAGTTGATGTACACTTCATAAAACAGGAATGACCATACCTAGTATATAAACCAAAGTAATTGTTATCAAATAGGTTTTATTTCTAAGCTTACTAAAAATAGTTATTTACTAAATTGCAATATTTTTATATTTTCAAAATAATACATATTTTTATATGTAACTAACGTTCATTTTACATAATATCTCAGTCATTAACACAATGTTAATTCCACATGGTTTGATTACAGACACATTTAAACAATGATGTTACATGAGTTGCATCAACCAGCTACATACAACCATTTTGTAAATTGTCTTCAATACAAAATTTAACAAAAACTTGAAGGCATTCTATACCCCAATTTAACAAGTCCAGGCACTACATTTAACAATGTTAGAGATTTAATTATTTCATATGTTTTCATGTACCATTAAAATATCTTTTTGTATTTGTTTGACATGATTTTTAATGTAACACATGCAAATTACTTAGTTCACTTTCATTAACAATTTCCAATAGAACCTGTAAATCACCAGGATTAGATATAACCTTCGGTGCACCAATAAATTCAACAGATTTGCCATCAATTTCAATGTCATATTTTAAATCTTTTGGACATGTTACACTTTTAAAACAGGCACCATCTTTAGTCTTTTTGAATACAAGATGTGTAATACCTTCAATGGTTGCCAAAGATATTGTTTCCTTTGGTTTGACATCTTTAAACTCAGTAATTTCCTGTTGAAGATTTGCCTCAACTGGCTTCATTTCAGTGTCTTCTTTCTTATCTGTATTGTTCATTGTTTCATCTGTTTTAAGATTGTTATCTTGAGATGCGTCATTTTTCTTGTCAGTGTTGCATGGCAAATGTTCCTCAATACCTTTTTGCAATGTTTCATCAAGTATAGAGGGACTTTGAGGATTCTCAACTTCTTCAATTATATCAGAAGCAGGTAATTTAGTGGGCGTCTCGGGCATTACAATATTGTCTGGAATTACAGCTAAATGATTAACATCTTCCATTAAATTGCCCATATCTGCATTTTCTACATCCATAGGTGTGGGAGGCAGGGGTGTACTTATAGAAGAATTTGTCTTACCAAGGAGCATCGCTTCAACATCACTAGATTCTAAATTAGATTTAAAGTCTAGGGAACTACTTTGGTCATTTGTTTTACTATCACTACTATTATCATTAAGAATATCCATTATGGAAGGAAAATCATCCACTTTGGTTTCAGCAGTGTCCATTTTTTCAATAGGTTTAGTAGGTTTTTCACTGTACATCAAATCTTCCAATTCTGCTGCAATCCTATCATACACTTTATCATCCTTTGGTTCACCTTTTTTAGGAAAGAAATCTATACACCAATCTTTTGAAGGAAGTATGCTATCATTTATTTGAGACAATAAGTCAGATAATGAAACTTTGCTATTCACATCTTTGTTATTATTGCTATGGGGAACAGGATCCTCAAATACAACAACATATTGTTTCTGAGTTGAGGCAGTCATCTTTTTCTTGTCATCATAATAAGAATTTTTGTCTTTCATTAATGTGGTTGAGGCAGTTACCTTTTTTAATCTATTATTTTCCTTTAAAATGTTATGGGTAACACGAGGAGACTCAGTTTTTGTCTTTTTAGAAGCTGTTACCTCCTTTACAGGTTGTTGACTTTTTGCATTTCTGTGAATAAGTATCATTCCATTTTCATTGCTTTTTAATCTGGCATTTGTATTAGGCGAAGTGACTTCTGAATTTTGTTTCGTTTTTGGGGTTTTGCTGCTCTCATATTGAATCTTTACTTTAGTAAATTTACCTAAGATCTTGGCAAAGTCCATTCTGGTCACTACCACTGCACACTCGCGACATTTTCCTTTTTTATATAAGCGTTCTAGATTTTTTGGTAACTTCAATGCTTTCACTCTTCGACTTTCACGTATTTTATTGGGAATCATTGTGATAAAACTCTTTATTTCTTGATTTAAGCAGCTATGTCACATAGGCTAAAATGATATTGGACGTAGTCACATTTCCCGCGCAGAGAATATCGTGGTATTTATTTATCTGATGTGGTCACAATTACATTTTCTGAACTTCATAACTAAAGAGCATTCTAGTTTAAAACTGTTTAATTTAAGTAGAATCTGTTTTGTTTATAAAATTATAATAACTTCAACAATCGAGCACACAGCAGACTCAAATCCAACGCGAAAATGGCGTCGTTCTAGGGCTGTGCTCGACTATTCGATTACTAAGAACTTACTAGATTTTTTTCGAATACATATAAATCGCGTAAATCGAGTAGAAAACTAAGACTTATAGAAAAGTTCGTAGATAATTATCTGTTGGTTTAAAATTATATTAATTAAAAAAATAGGTAATCTAAAAATTAAACGGAATTAACAATAAAAAAAAAATATGTCCATTATTATTTTTCTTTCTCTTTCTCTTAGTTGTTTCTTTGCTACGTTTTATTTTATTTTGAAAAATAATCTGAAAATTTTTGTTGTACAAAACAGTGGCACAATGGGCAGCCTTATCACTGTCTGCGATCTCTTACAGGCAACCCTCCTACTGTGAGCGCTGATTTAAAAATGTAATCGTCATGTAAAAGGAAGTTTATGAACTACTTGGTCTGTATTCTGTAGCTGTAAGTTTTGTAAATAAATAAATTTATAGTAAAAATAAAAATATGAGCCGTAGCGGCAGGTCTAGTCAGGTCCAGTCAGGATATGAAACATCAATATTATTTTGTAGAAATAATGAGTATAAAACGATTGCTTATGACAGAAAGTTAGAAATATACCACAATTAAAGAAAAACATGATTGTTTATTTAATGTATTTACATTACTTACAACACACTGTATTATTACATGGTGTTGCAAAGCATCGCCGAGTCATCAGCTGGCCACGTACACTGGAGGTTTCACATCCAAACACTAAATAATATGCTAACTATATGAATACGCACCTTGGAGTATGTTATATGATTGAGGTCAAGTTTGCCTTCATTGAAAGGAAACAACGATAGTGCAAAAGCAATGGAGTACTATGCTTGAAAATTTCATACACTGTAATTCATTTAGTTGATGCATTTAATAGGTAGCAAATTTTGAGCACAGGAATTATTAGACATTATCATTACTTTTAAAGATCATACCTGATAAACACATGTTTCCTCTAATTTAGTAATGTGAGGAAAAGATATAAAAAAAGGTATTGTGGCAATCGAATTAAAGTTGTAATTTTTACATCACTATATCTTCTAACATGTCAACGTCAAATTAATGCTAGGTAAATGTGGAATCAAAATGGCTGCCGTGTCCTACGGAATAGTATCGACCGCTTTAATTTGTTAAATAACACGCAGTTGTAAAAATTAAACTTGAAATATATTTATGTAAGATAAACTTTTGAATATGTCTTGGCCAATGCAGACCCCCGGGCAATGGAACCCGGGTATGGCTATGGCCCCTGAAATGGGTATGGGATCCTACACACCAGAACAGTGGGCTGCTATGCAGCAGCAGAATTGGCAGCAATGGACCCAATGGCAACAGCAATACGCACAATGGCAAAGTCAATATGGAGAGAAGGTTAGAATTCAGATAGTCAGAAGCACTTATTCTTTTATTCTTGGGTTTTTCGTCCTATAAATATCCGTTTTTTGTCTTGCAGTACGCGGAGCAAATGCAGGCTATACAAACGATGGGGGGTATGCCGCCGCTCCCGCCCCCAACAGCTGCCCCACCACCGGCCCCGCCGCCGCCGGATAAGCCACCTCCACCTCCTCACGAAAATAACCAGCCGCTTTATGCTCCTAAACCTAATCAACCTACCCCTGTTCCAGCTCCTAATAATACTGAAAACCGTAATGTGCAACCTGGAAATAAAACTAATTTAAACCAAGCAGGTACCAATAATAATTGGTCTTATGGTCAAGAGCCATCATTGGTGTCTGCTAATGCAGAAGCACTTAAGAAACTAGCCGAGGAAGAGAGGCTGTTTGATATACAGTTTCAGAAGTGGGAAGAGGAAATTGAGAAATGGAAAAAAGACAATTTAAATCATCCTGATAAACAAGCATATAAAAACTATGAGGAAAAGTTTGAGTCTTGTCGTGCACAACTTTTAGAGCGGCGACAACAGATGAATAAAAAGAAAGCTCGCCTTTTAAGTACAGCTCCGCCGCCACCTCCTCCACATCCTGCTACGCCGCCTCAAGGGAATGGAAACATTCTAGTACCGCCTCTTTTAAAAAATACACCAAGCAATGTGTATCCAAACATACAGCAAAATTATGGTAACAATCCTGGTCAAACAAGTGTTCAACAGCAAACTTATGTTAAAAGTCCTGGTCAGACAAGTGTCCCACAACAAAGTTATGGTAATTATTCTGTACAACAGCAAAATTATTGTCATAATCTTGGTCAAACAAATGTTCAACGGCAAAATTATGGTAATAATCCTGTTAAACAGCAAAATTATGGTAATAATCCAGGTCAAACAAATGCTCAGCAGAAAAATTATGGATTTGAAAAGACAAATATACAACAGCCTAACTATGGTTTAAATGTTTCTCAAAGTAATTATAAACAAGGTTTAGATAATAATTCAATTCAAGTGACAAAACAGCATCAACAAAATTATGGTAATAACTCTATTCAAAATATAAATAAGCAACACCAAGATTATGGAATGAAGACACCTCAAAACAACCTGGATCAAGGTGGCAGTCAATACCAGTATCAGGACTACATTTTGCAAAATCAAAATTCTTCTAAATCAGTTAAAAATACCAATTTAACTACTCCACCCCCAAATCCTAGCTTTTTACTTGCTAATGAATCTAATAAAAATGGAATACCAGGCCTTGATTTAGTTCCTAATACTGAGAAAAGTTTCAGTTCTAATACAAATCAGGATGTTATTGAAATTATTGATGATAAACCAGTAACTCAATCTCTAACTGCAGGCCCAGATTATTCAACTATTTCGAAGGGAATAAATAACATTCTTGGTGATGAAAAAATTATGAATATACTTTCAATGGTTAGAGGACAAGTTGGCACAAATCCTTTGAATAATCAAGCACATGTATCTAACAATCTAGCTGGCCAAATTGTTAGCAACAGTCAAACTGAGTCGCTATATGAACAGGGATACGGTAATCAAAATCAGCAATTTAACCAACAGTATGATAACAGACAAAATAATATGCCATACAACAGACAGAGTGGAAATTACTCTATGCAACAAAATGAAGAAGCCTCCCCACATGTACCAAAAAGGTTTATGGATGAGAGGCAAGATGATTCACAATCACAGTACAAGTATGATAGTAATCCTCAGTATGGAAATGAACCTGCATATGATAATGGCCCTCCTAGAGGCCTACCACAAGGCAGATCCAACATACCTGGCCATCAAAATGAAAATATTTACACTAAAGGACCTCCACACCCTGATCATCAGGATGGTAATAATTATCCAAGAGGATTTACAGGGCCTCCAGAAAGAAGACCATTACATGACAGCAATATAAATACTGTTGCACCTCAAACACCCTTACCTAAATGGATAGATGAACCAATGTTTTCTCCATCTGTAATAGTAGAATATGAGCACAAACCCCTTAGATTAAAAGGTAGGTAATCATTTTATAGTTTTCATCTATTACATTTCATTATTTTGAAATGATTTTTTGTGACATATTAATTACTCAATTCAAAATAATAACAAATTTAAATTCACAAATGTTATTATGAACTTTCTCACTCATAATGTTATTAATATATTTCCTTATATTCCTTTAGCACGTGACTTTATTGAACCTGTTCATATGTTTGAATATAATCATAAATCAAAAGATGAAGATAACAAGAGAAAAGAATATGAAAAAGAAACAGATGACTTATTTACACGAAACCTGAGAATATCTGATAATGATGTTGACTACAGTGGTCAAAGGTATAGTCGTGATTATTATTATAGGAATTTTGAAAGACGAACACCTCGAGATGATCAACATAGTGAGTTTCGGCCGAGACCCGCATTTCGAGATGAGTATGATGATAGGAGGAGATTAGATGAGGATAGGAGAAGATTAGACGACGATAGAAAAAGGCTAGAAGAAGATAGACGACGACTTGATAGCAGATTTGATGATAGACGAAGAGACGACCGTGATAAATATAATAGACGTGAAGATGTGCATAGAGAAAGGGATAGAGATTTTCATCGTGATCGTGTTCGTGGCCGAGAATCTCGAAGGGAAGATATAAGGCATCATAGTAGAAGTCACGAGAGAGACATACGTAAAAGGGCATTAAGTAAAGATAGTGATCAAAGTGATTCATTTGCAAAGAAACTTAAAGAAAAGGAACCTATTCCTGCTGATCAGTTTGATCAACCTAAGCATATAGTGATGATTGACGACTTATTAGAACCTCCAGGACGTGAAATGAGACCACAAAAGATTGTCATCATATTAAGAGGTAGGTTATTCATCAAACATTTATACATGTATTACGATTTCTTTTTCTGAAAACATGCTCAACATACTAAAAAATAAATTTATAATTTTTCTATGGATACTAAGACATCTATAAAACCATTCTTATCAATTTACTCCTATACATTTACAACTACAAAATACATCAGCAAGAATTTGATTTAAAAAGAGTTCTCTTTCTAAATAAATGCTGATCTGGCTACTGCAGTTACCGTGATAGTCTGTGTTTATGCTGTCTTAATTATATATTTTAGGAGAGCCATTATTAATAACTAGCTGTACCCTGCCACCCTTCCCTTTGGCACATTGTGGTTGCAAAAATAGATAAAAATTGATCCAAAAACCTCTTTCTTTCTTTATCTGATCTATAAAACTCAATATTAAATCATAATAATGTTTTATTTCAGGACCTCCAGGCAGTGGAAAGTCATATTTAGCAAAATTAATAAGAGATAAAGAAGCAGAACATGGTGGAACAGTGAGAATCATGTCCATTGATGACTATTTTATGCAAGAAGGTGAAATTGAAGAAAAGGATCCCAGCACTGGAAAGATGGTAAGTGTTTTCTTTTATTAACAGCCATTGCTGGACATAGGCCTCTCCTTAGAAAGCAGGTTTCGGCCTACTATACCACTCTGGCCAGACAGGTTGGTATAGTTTGTGTCAAGTTTTCCTTCTCTTTGCAGTGCTGTTGTCCTGCAGAGTTTGCTCCCTTAGTTGACTAGTAAAAGTCTTAGTTTTATTTTGTTAATAATTAGATTCAACATAGTAGAATTTATAGTTTTTATCATACTTCCAACTACGTTATTGCAAAATGTCTTTTTAATTTTTTTTATATTTGAATCATGCTGAATGACTTAAAAAAAAATCTATGAATTTATCGAATGAATGAAAATTGTGATAGAGTATAGAAAGATTGTAAAATTATTTTTTACGATTTGAGGTTGACTTTAACCTCAAATAACTTTTAAATGAGTTGACTTAGCCAAAAATCATTTCAGACCCATTTTTGTGGATTGTTAAATTTCCTACCAGTACAGGTTTTGATTCTCACTTTTTTTGTTTCGTTCAACAGTTATTTGTTTGTTTTGTTACCAAATTTCCTGTTACTTAAATGGGAAATTGAAAATCACAAAGCGTCACCTCTTAATAATAATATTAAGAGCTGAAACTTTACCAGTTTTTTTTTGTCATCTCTGATGATATTTTCATGGTAATTAAGGGAAAAAAATGAAAGTTTTTTCTGGAACACCCTAATATATAGTAATCCCCGCGTAATCCTGTAATGCGAGAGAGAATGGCCACACAACGGGCAAGTATCATACCTGATACAAAATTCCTCCTAGAAGCCCGTGAACGCCCCCGGAGGCTTCTGCGCATCTGGAAGGAGCTTGGTTGGCTCACCTAGCCAACCTTTCCTCGACGCATAAAGGACCTTTATCAACCAATACCAATGTATATATAGTATATTAGCTGACCCGGCAAACGTTGTTTTGCCATATACATTATTTCAAAGAAATTGGTCAGAAAAAAAAATTAGGGGTATGGAACCTCTTACTACTTACTCAGACCTACTCGATATGCACACAAAATTTCACGAAAATCGGTCGAGCCGTTTCGGAGGAGTTCAACCACGCACACCGTGACACGAGAATTTAAATTTTAGATTTCAAAAATTTTTGTCACAAAAAAAATAGGGGTATGAAAAACAGATGTTGGCCAATTCACAGACCTACCCGATATGCACATAAATTTTTCCGAGAATCGGTCGAGCCGTTCCGGAGGAGTTCAACCACGCACACCGTGACACAAGAATTTTATATATTAGATTTGACTGCGCTGAGTATTGTGGATTCGATTCTCTCATGGGACGACACTTTGTGTGATCCACAAATTGTCGTTCTGAGTCTGGGTGTTCTTTGTGTCTGTTTCATCTTTGTTAGTAAAGTCCCCGCAACACAGGATATATTCCTAATGAGGTAGTCGTCTTTAAAAAAAAAGGCAAATATATGTAATGTAATAATAATAAATGTATAGTTTGACATTTGATTTTTTAGATTAAAAAACCAACTCTGAAATATGAATATGATGTGAGCAGTGAAGAAACATATATAAATTCTTTAAAAAGAGCTTTCAAGAGAAGTTTGACAGATGGTTATTTTTCATTTATTATATATGATGCAGTCAATGACACTTTGAAGAGTTATGCAGATGTATGGAACTTGTCTCGACAGAACGATTTCCAGGTATATAAATAGCATGTTTAAAATAGTTTTATTAAACATACTTAAAACTTTTTGAATTTCAATTACATAAATTTCGTTGTAGGTGTACATTTGTACTATGGAATTAGATCCCCATCTATGTTATAAGAGAAACATTCACAACAGAACATTAGAAGATATTGAAGTTATATGCACCCGTTTCTACCCTACTCCACCCCATCACATTCAACTTGATGCCACAACATTGCTACAGAGTGGTGCCATAACAGAAGTACAAATGGAAGATGCAGATGATGAAGTTATTATGGAGGATGCACAAGAATCTGAGGTGAGGCCTCATTACCGAGCTCCAAAGAAATATGGTTTTATGCTACATTACAAAACAGTAAGCCACCATGAACAAACATGTTGTCTGCATGTGGTATCTTCTTTTTATCCAAACTTGATCCAAACTTCGTGTCAGTGGACTACATCCACTGATACAAAGTGAAGAGAATGGGAAGAGAATGTGGGGACAAGGCAGGACTTTTCCATCTTAGTCACTCGAAATTGTATTTTTAAATAGTGGTAATACTGGAAAATTCGTCAACACACACTTATCATGTTGAAGCAAAGTCTAATAATAGAATGAAAATAACGACTACGGTTGTTATACAGTTTACAATGATTAAATTTTAATGTCTGTATATATTTGTACTGTGACTATATGTCCCCTGTTGTATTTTTGGCAAGGGTAGGATTAACAATTTTTATTACAGCATAGTAACTAAACTTGTAAGGTGCTGCCCCACTACAGGTCGAAAGCGTTTTTACATCGAAGTGGGAGAAAATGGACGACGCTGCTCAACTAGGTAGGTTACGCTTATTTATGTATTAAAACTTAATCTAAGATTTAATTTAATCGGTGTATTGCGGCAATCATTTGTGATGTTCAGACGTCTCTTCCTTTTAGTGCCGTCAAAAATCCTTATTATTGTGTTTTAAGTGTAAATGTATGTTGTTACAGCTCGACTCGATGGCACCAGCAAACCTCTCCGGCCCTCGCAGCTCTCAATGGAGGACTACCTACAACTAGACGACTGGAAGCCAACAGCAGCCAAGCCAGGAAAGAAAACTGTGAGTATACAATTGCAGTCATAATTATACATTTTTACATAAGTAAAAAACCTGTCGCGTCTTATTTCATAGCCATGTTGTTGTGAAAATTCAGCAGATGGACCATTAGATATCCATCTTACGATAAAACAGTTTCTTTTGAAAACTGTTGCATTTAATGGCCTATGAAACAATTTCTTAATACGGAAAAACACTGTAAGTTTATGTTTATTTAATGCGGTGTGGCATACTTGCTGCTGTGTTTTTTATAATAAATATATATAGCGGTTTTCGAAATATATTTGTTTGATGATTTTATGATATTTTGACATGCTACTGAAAATTATACAACTAACACTTCAGTGACCGAACTTAGGATCACTGGAAATCTAAAAATAACTAATTCTAATCTCCTTCCATACAAGCCTTAAAGTGGCCTGACTTTTGAAAATGCTTGGAAGATATATCAACCCTGAAACTTGAGAAACTATTTTCCGTAAAAAACATGGTATTGTTTATTATTCCTCTGATAAGCTGGTTATCAAAGCATACATTTTAGTGTATATCGTGCTTCAATTTAATTATTGTCACATAATTCAGTGAGAAGAAGACGTGATAATATTGTAAGTTATATTTAAACAACAGAAAACATATTTGATTATCTTAATTTCTGAACTACTTAAAACTTACACAAAAACCTTTTTGTCGTCGAAAATTTAAAACACTGTTTTAGTGATTTTACTTTGGTGTTCATTTTAATATTTAATAGCTTCATTTTGGTAATATTTATTACCTCAAGACAAACCTATAAAAATTAAAAAAAGTCATTTACTTGAACGAGAATTCTCCAAAAAAAATAATGCGAACCTCTACAGTTATTGTACTTTATTAATGGTATTTTATACCGTTTATATTATACTTTTAGAGAGAGTCGTATTTTCAGTAATCGGTTATCAGTTGTAATGGCTGTAAACTTTTTGGAACATTTATTTTCCAAGCAAGTTTATTTTTTTAGACTTAATAATATTAAAGCCTAAAAGTGTACAGGTGAGTTTTGTTTTAAGCATTTTCCTATCGTGTTAAAGTGGAATTTCATCATGTAATATTAAAACAGGTACGCTGGGCGGATATTGAAGAAAGCAGACAACAAGAAAAGATGCGCGCCATCGGATTTGTAGTAGGCCAAACTGACTGGAACCGAATGACTGACCCAACTATGGGTTCCAGCGCGCTCACTCAAACAAAATATATTGAGCGAGTGAGACGTCATTAGCTTCTTAAATGTTATTTTGAAAGATTTTTTGTTCATAAATATTAAAATGCTAATGACACGGTTTAAGTAAGATTTTAGTATTTTTAAATACTGCTTGTGAGAATATTTTTTGCTGTGCTAAAATAAATGAGGATAACTGGTACTGGATACTGGTTTAAAAATATTGTGTATTTTTCTTACATGATGTTAAAGTAGTTTAATTATGTATACTTTTCTTTTGACAACGTCTCAGCATGTTACTCAAAGTGAGTTATTTTTGCTTAGATAAAACTTAATGCGTAACTGTATCCAATTCAATAGCAGATTCGTCCACAGTGTAGTCCAGTAAGAACTAAAACAATTTTACTATTGTTAAATAACGGATAAAGAACCGAAATAGTATATTTTGAAGAATTATTTTCTTACAAATTTCATTACCTATTGAATAAATCACACTTAAGTATTAAGGAGCACAGCACTGCAAAGAGAAGGAAAACTTGACACAAACCCTGTACCAACCCGTCTGGCTAGCGTGGTATCGTAGGCCAAAACCTCCTTTCTAAGGAGAGGCCTATGTCCAGCAGTGGACTATTAAAGGCTATTGATGTGATGTGAAGTATTAGTGAAAGTTGGTTTACGAAAGTTACTTTTTATGTGACCAGCTGACATGACCTTTACAAAGGAAGAAACACGGGGACAGTCATTCAACTAAACAAAGTTGCAATCTACACGGCTCCGGTGTCAGCGATGCCATCTACGTTGGCGTTTTAATTGAAAAACAAATTATTTTGCAGTAAATATACGAAACGTATGGGCAGTTTTAAGAGAGCACTTGTAGGGAGTTTTCTAGAAAGATCTAATACATAAATACAAAACATAAAAATACATCCATTTTTCTAAATCGTTCCGTTTCAAAGAATTCTTATTTCGTCGGGTTAACTCATTATTATTTTACTAGTTACGGAAAATGAAACTTAGCAAACTACGTGGTCAAGAAAATTATGATTTTCTATGATAAAATTGTATATACGTAGGTCACTATATAAATTTTGAGACATGCAAAAGTAAAAAATTTATACTTACAATTTATATGATATTTTTTTTAATTCTCTACATTACTCTTTTTTATGTTAGAGTGGGCAGAGGAGCAGACTTGTCACCACGAGCCGACGGGTGAAGTGACCATCGCCGCCCATGAACGTCTGCAACTCTGGAGTCACAAACGCGTTGCCGGCCTTTTAGGAAGAAGTACGCTCTTGTAGGTTTAAAGGTCGTATCGTTCCGGAAATACCGCAGACGATAACCCGTTCCACAGATTGGTCGTGCGGGGCAAAAAGTGTCTCGAAAAGTGCACAGTAGTGGAGCGCCAATTATCCATGTGATGAGGATGAACATTTTTCCGTGCGGCTGGTATTAGTCCGAACAATTCCTTGCAGCAGAATGCAGAGTGAAGCCACATCTCTGCGTAACGCCAAGGGATCGAGCCGATTGGAGATGTTTTGGCTATCGACGATTCGAGTCGCTCTTCGTTGGGTGCGGTCCAGAGGGAGAAGCTGGTACTGAGGTGGTACTGCTTAGAGATGAAAACAGTATTCCATATGCGGCCGGACTTGCGCCTTATATAGCTGAAGGCGGTGGGCCTGAGTGAAATACTGCCTCGATCTGTTCAGCACACCAAGCTTCTTGTAGGTGAGGTGTAGGTAGGGTCTAAGTGACCCCCAAACTAGACTTTGCTCGATATGTCGATGCCTAGGTTTTCAATGCTGGCTGAGGCAATAAGGAAGGCGCTCTCAAACCGAAGTGATACGACAAACGGTATCTTATTTGGCGGTGAACGCGCAAACCTGTCTTTTTTGGATTAAAGTGGACTAGATTTAGTCGACCCCAATCTGAAACATCCGCTAAGGAAGTTTCAATTTAAGACACCAGTTTGTTTCGACTCTCGATGCAGTTTTCCCGAGAAATATTGGATCGGCCGGTGTAAAGGTATCGGCCGGTGCATAGCAATGGATGCTACTAGTTTGCAACATGTAATTGATATGCAGAAGAAACACTGTGGGTGACGTCCCACAGTCTTGTGGGACACCAGCATTTACGATTTTCAAGTCGGAGCATGCACCCTCGACAACGACCTTAATGCTTCTGACCGCAAGGAAACGGGTGACCTAATTACACAATTTCTCGGGAAGCCCAAAAGAAGGGAAGGGAGCTTCGAGAGAAGTGCCTTATGCCAGACCCGATCGAAGGCCTTCGCTATGTCCAAACAAACCGCACACGCGGTTCGTTTCCTCCGTCATCCAAAGTCGAGGTGGATGCAAAGAGTTTGCCTAGGAGATCGGCTTTCTCCTTGGCATCATAGGCCTACGAATTATCTCCCATCTGCAGGGGTAGAAAGGATTGGCTACAGAAATTCCCCTGGACTGCCTTGGCAAGAGACCAGAATGCACGAGTTTCAGAAGGAAGTCTCACCAGTTTCTCACCGATCCGGCTGTTGTGCTCCGATTTCGCCCTAGCAATGGCTCTTTTAAGGGTCCTGGAGGCAAAGTTATATCGTTTTTTTCAGTCTGCTGGTATTTACATCGCCTGCCGTCGCTGCATTTGCCCACGCTTGGTACCACACCCGCTTTCGGCGGGACGCTTTTGCAGGATCTGTCGAACCAGGGCTTGGACCTGCCACTGATGGGAATTAATGTAGAAGGAACGAATAGTTTCATGCCCTGAAGTACTACATCAGTGATAAAATCGGCAACATCCGGATCATCCGGCAAGAAACGGACCTGCCTCCATGGGTAGGACGCAAAGAAAGAGCGTATCCCATCCCAGTCCGTTGAACTATAATGCCATACACGGCGGCAGCCTGCAACTCGCGGCTGCAGCAAGCACGTAAGTGGCACTTTACTGCGGATTAGACAATGATCCGAGGAGCCAAGTGGGGCTTCCACTGCGATATTGTAACCGTCCGGATCAGAGGTCAGCAGAAGGTCCAATAGTGAAGGCTCATGACTTTCCACATCTAGAACACGCGTGGGCGTTGATACCAGTTGTGACAGGCCATATGTCAAGGCGAAATCGTGAACAGATCTCCCCGCGTGATCGGTCTTGAGTTAAGCCATTCGGGATGAGCTTTAAAGTCGCCAAGTATCACGATCTCCGCGGATGGCATCTGCTGCAGCACGGAATCTGTAGCCATTTGGACGTGGTCCATCAGTTGTTCAGTTTCGGTGTTACCGCTATGGGACTTGTAGAGACATGCGTAGACGCGGGGATGTTCGTCGCTGTCTACATGGAGCCATAGCAAGGTCCCATCCTTCAAGATTACTGAGGCGGCGCGAACTGATATCACCTCTAACGTACACGCACACTCCAGCCCTAGCAACAAAGGAGTGTTCCAGATGATAGACTGGGTAGGAGAGGTAGGATATGTCCGATGGAGATGATATCTGCGTCTCGGTTAGAAAGAGCAAGGCCGGCTTCACTGTCTTGAGGTGGTGGTGGGGAAGCGTTAAGGTTTGAGTGAAGGCCCCTTATATTGCAGAAATTTACGTCAAGCGTGGCGAGGGGTGGCCTGATGTGCTTGCTCCCGCCGCAGGCAGATATCCTGTCGAGCGCTGTTGCGTCCCCCCCAGAATACGCGGGGCAGCCCAGACATCCACGCTCAGACGCATGGTGTTCTGAGCGTGGACGTCCAAAGGGGGATTCTCCAACGCTAACGCAGCTGGTACCCTCCTGGGGTAGAATATTTTCCAACGACGCTATCATGAGGGGAGGATATAGGAGGGGTTGGACTCCGGAAACCACTGGTGAAATGCAACAGAGACATTGCTTAACGACCGGTTTTCTATGAGGCCGTGGTATCGCACCGGTCTCATGGCATGGCTCTCCCACGTAAAAAATCTCCATTCAAATTTCCATCCGCTTCAACCAGTCTTGGAAACACTTATTCCAGTCTTCCTCCCAAAAAAAAAAATGGCTGAATCGTAGGCAGCCACCGCTTCTTGACGAAAAACTTGCCTTTTATCTTATCTTTTATGGTGGGGAATAAAAAAAGTTACAAGGCGCTAAGTCGGAGCTGTAAAGCGCGTGAGATAGGGTTTCAATACCCGATTCTTAAATAGACGCCTTTATTCTGAGGGAAGAGTGTGAAGACGCACCGTGGTGCAGCATCTTTTCCCGGAGCCCGGTATTTGGTCGTCTCTCCTGCACAGTTTTGGAAACTTTTGTCAATGCGACTGTAGTGTACCATAATGGGTTAAAAGACTTACAGTTCTCTCAGCATTGATGTTGCAAGATGTCCACTCCTGGAAAAAAAAACTGACAACCATTTTTTTGTCAAAGTTCCGCGGTTTTTTTGCCAATTTTGTTGGCAACTGGCCACCTGGAAACGCCCATACCGAGGAACGCTTCTTGCTTTTGCATTGATATATCCATTTTCGGAGAGCAAACGAGGTATCCAACTATAACAAGGCTTCCTCATTCTAGGATGTTCATGTAATATGGTGTGAACTGTAAACACTAACCTAACTGATGCCTAAGATTTTTTTTATGTCCCTACATGTAATTCGTGGGTCATCTCGCACAAGCATTTTAGTAGTGCACATATTTTCAGCAGTAACTGCTGTTGGCGGGCGTCGCCTTCTGTCATCATCTTTATGGCTAGTTTTCCTCCTTTTAATTTCGTTAAACCGTCTAAAAATGGTTGCCTAAGGAATAGGAGGACTCACCTGAAGTGGATTTTAAACGTTCTTAGTTTAATTCGTGGGTAACTTAACCTTCTAATAAACCACATTTAAACTAGTAATATATCATACCACACAAATGTTCACGTTTAAGCTCCATTGTAGCACGAAAAAGCGATAAATGATGGCAGTATGATACTTCGAATTTTTCAAAAAAAAAGACCTTTTGTGATCGATTTTCAAATAAATTTGCGTTTTAATAACATATAAGACACAGATGCATACGATTTTCAAATTCAGAGCATCTCACAACTTTATAGTGACCTACCTACGTACACGTTACGC